AGTATGATGTGCAGACTGTGAGCTTAGAGTGGTAGGTGATAAGAGTTGAAAAGAGAGGAATCTGATCATATTATACTATCTAACTAGGATTTTATCTTGTAGATAGGAAATGAAGAACTATTGTTGACTTTTTTTTTAAAGATTTTATTGGGGAATTAGACAAGGGGAACAGTTGAGGAATTGGGGAAGGGGGACAGCTAAGTTGTTGTCCTTCAGCCTTAGTTGTGGAGAGCGCAGCTAGCTCAGCTCCAAGTCCACTGGCCCATGTAGGAATCAAACTGGCGACCCTGTTTCTCAGAGCTTGTGCTCTTAACCAGCTGAGCCACTTGGCCGGCTCTATTGACTTTTATAAAGTAATAGCTTTTTTTGAAATATAGTTTCATATAAAATTCACCCTTTCAAAGTATTCATTTCAGTGGTTTTTCGTATATTCAACCATCACTATTTAATTTTCATCACTCCAAAATGAAAACCCCATATCCTATTTTCCTCTCCCATCAGTCCTTGGCAACCACTAATCTAGTCTCAGTTTCTATGGATTTGCTTATTCTGGACATTTGATATAAATGGAATCATACAATATGTCATGTGGCTTTTAAAATAGTGGAGTAACACAATTAGATTTGCATTTTAAGAAGATCATGCTGGCAGGAATGAGAAGATGCATTAGCCTGTGCCAAGCCAGAGAGACCAGTTAGAAGAATATTGCAGTATTCAATGGAGGAATGATGAGGACCTAAACTAGGGCAATAGTAGTGGGGATGAAGAGGGAGGGACTGATTTGAAAAACATTTAGAAGCTACAATTAGTTGGAGTAAGAGTAAAAAATCTAGGATGAACCCCAGGTTTCCAGCTTAACAAACTGCGTAGAAGTTGACAGTATCAGATGACATAAAAATACAGCTCGAGTTTTAGCTTTTGGGGGAATGAGTTCAGATTTGCATGTATAGAGAATATGAGTAATCCAGGAGGAGATGTCCAGAAATAGACAGGGTGTGCAAATCTGCAGCGTGAGGATAAAGGTCAGGGCTGAGGATACACACTTGGGAGTCATCAGCACAGAGAGGGTAATTAGAAAAGAAATGCGGACTAGCCTCCACAAAAGAGCACAAGAGCTGTAGGCCCGAGATAGAACCCTGAGAGCATCCTTCTCATGGAATGGGAAAAAGAGCCTGCACTGGAAGACTCCAAAGTAGCCAAAGGTAGGAAAGGAAATCCAGAACTTTAGTGTAATATTAATCAGGAGAGAAGAATAAAAAAGGAACAGGAATGGCCTCTAACAGCTAGTCTGTTAGCTCCAGGACCATGACTACTTATTCTCTGCACGTCCAGTACTAGTATGATTCCTGAGTGATACGTAAAAACATTTGATAGAAGTAATCAGCAGTTAACAGCAGAAAGATCAAGTAATATAAGAACTAATTTTGTCTATTGAGATTAATACCACAGAACTCATTGGGATCCTCTGTGAGACTTCTTCCAGCAGAAGCCAGTGAGGAGTGAGTGGGAGATAAGTAAAAACAGCAAGTGCTGCCAGACAAACCTCACTAGCTGAGGCCCTGTTAAGGGCAGGCTCAGGAGTTTGTTGGAAAACCCCATGGGGGCTAATCCTGGTCAGGGCTCCTCTCCATTTTCCTTATCACCTCAGATACAGATGCCTAAAGTTTGGCTCTTTTGGCTTTCAGTATCCCATCTTTGTCTTTGGCTCCAATATCCAGCTATTGGCTGTGGAGAAGCTTTAAGAGGGGAAGTGGTCACACTTCAGACCAGAGGCATGCAACTTTGTCCCATGTTGTGGAGCCCTGATCCATCCATGCCTTAGCCATTTCTCAGCCACTCAGAGAAGCTACTCGGAAGGCGCTGACTCCTGAATGGCTGGTTTGCATTGAGTGAACAGTGAAGATGGGGCAAACTGGACAGCTTTGACAAGGAAGTGCACTGTGGCCATGATCTGTTCCTTACTTGCTGAATTTACAAGCTGAATTTAACAAGGTTGTTTCTGAGGGCTATAAAGCACATAGTAAATAGGACTTTAGACTGAGCCTTGGAGACAGGAGCCTAAGTTGTTAGTGAAAGAGGAGGAGGAGGGGAGAAAAATACGTGACAGATCTGAGCTGCCACTGCCTCATAGTGCCCTATAGCCCGGGCTTCAGCTGTCTAATAGTCAAGCTGGCCTAGGGTCCATAGTCTCAAAGACATCCCGAGTCAAGGAGCTGGGGGATGCTGAGCCAGCAGGACTAGAGAACTAATGCCAGGACAAGCACAAGGACGGTCCTGCTTGAAAGCCTGAGATAGTGCATGTCTACCTGGGATCCAAGGTAGGAGAGGATGTGATGAAATTACAGGCTCCTTCCAGGTCAGGAAGAGAGAATAGTGTTGATCATGTCAAGGCCAGAGTAAGGGACTGATTTTGTACCTAATGTGGAGTAAGCAGAAGACTTGGCAATGCCTTGGCAACTGGATGCCAAGGCTGGTGACGGGGAGAGAGGGCTGGTTTGGGTCAGATAGGGCCTTGCTGGCCCCAGAAATGTCCCTGTGAGCCAAGGATCGCTCTGCTGCCTCTAGAGGAAGAGGGAGGGGTAGAGTAAGGTTCCTCCTGAGCCAGTGGTTGAGGGCTATTTTGAATGCAGCTATTTGGAGAGAGGTTTTTGCTGCTTTGTGTTTATTTACAAGTTGTTTAGGTTCATCCTTTCTTCTCTGAAGACAGTAGCATTTGTTCAGTGAGCATGCCTGAGCCTCTCATGAACTGAATACTGTGAGGAACCAGAACTTGCTCCCGAGGAGCTGATAGCCTGCTAGACTGTAAGAGGAAGTGACACAGAGGAGGAGTTAAAGGAGATGAGAGAAATAAAAGTGAGAGCTGGAGAGCACAGGGCTGGGAAGGCAGCTTGCCTTAAAACACATGAAATTTTCTGAGGTGAAATGAGAATTGGAAGAGCATTCCAAATGGAAGGGAACAGTATAAGCAAAGGCTTCACAAGTCAAGCATGTCTGTGACAAGTTTGGATGAAGATTGTACAGACAGGTACCAGGGGTAGAGGGGAGCGAATAGGGAGGTAGGCCGGTTGGTTAGAACCAAATCATACACTTTTTATACCAGAGAGGAGGTTGGTTATGATCCTGTTGGCAGTCAAAGTTAGTGTAGGCTTGGGTGCTTGTCCTATGCTTACATTACTTGGCAAAAGGTCAGGCCTGCCTCTGGTTTCTGCATTCTGAGGAAAAGAGAAAGGGAGGCCAGGGGCCTGATAGGCTGTCTTCGTCCACTAGATTGTTAGCTTCAAGAGCACAAGGGTTTCTGTTCATTGAGGTATCTGGCACTTAGAATCATGCCTAGCACATAGAAAGCAAAGATCAATATTTGTGTTTGGAGTGATAATCCTAGGGCAGGCACCCAAGATCCAGGCCTAACTCATCTCACGTGGCTGTCAGAGCCCCCAAGTCTGACCACTGGGGTCAGCCTACGAGTATGGTTTCATCAAGGAGCAAGGTACCGTGTGGCAGGGAGGGATGGTGGTATTTTAACGGTTGGCTGGTCCCTACTTCTGAGCCACAGTCTTCTTCTTTGGGAACCCTAGAACTGCCTGATAAAGAGGGATGAGAATGGTTATTACTCTGCTGTGGTAGCTGACTTTGGCCTGGCTGAGAAGATCCCTGATGTAAGGTAGGTAGCCCTAACGGGTGCTGGGGTGTCGCATCCCGCACGACATGGGCAGTGGGAGAATGAAAGAGGGCGGCGAAGGGTTAAGAAAAGAAACAACAGCCAAGAGTTAAATGAGCGTGGGGCCAAGGGTCTCCAGCCTCAGAGGACCAAGAGCCCCGAATCGGGCCCACACACCGCTTTTATTTCTCCACATACCCGGAAGTAGCATTGTTCTCACCACAGTCTGAGTGTCTCATTCCTGAGAACTTGCTCAAGCCAGATTACCCATGCCTGCAAGCTGCTATTACCAAGTCGAGTCCGGAGTCTGCCTACAGCGCCTACAGCAATAAGACAGATGCTCTGCCTTCACACACCCTATACACAAACGACCCCAGGAAGATAAGATTATTATGCTGAGGACAGATCATCAGGGCACTTCCCAAGCAGGCTGAGGGAAGGAATGTAGCTACAGAAGTAGAAAACCTCCAGTCTCTTTGGGGGCGGGTGAGGGCCCATGCCCACCTCCATCAGCCCCAAGATTTCTCCTGATGGCCCCCATGCGACTGTGCCTGGCTTAGGTTCTTCCTTCCTCGAGGAATCTTACCCATCTACCAGCCATCCTTTGGGGCCAGACGGGAGACACAAGGTGTATGAGCAGTGTCCTCAAAAGGGTCAGTTTAGGGTTAAGCATGGGGGGGGAGGGGGAGGGCAGACTGCTGGACAGCTGCGTGGCAACACGGGTTACAGAAGGGACTGAGGCAAAAGGAAAACTCCAGCTTCCTCCCCAGAGGCCAGGACTTGGTCACAGCTCAACCTTAGCTCCCTAAATTTGGTCATTCCTAGTCTGTGCCCATCCCTGGGGGAGAATTCCCAATATTCAGATAGCCCATTGCACAAGCAAGTGGCAAGCTCATTTTCTGTCTCTCACTCCACAGCATGGGGAGTGAGAAGCTGGCTGTGGTGGGCTCACCCTTCTGGATGGCACCCGAGGTTCTCCGAGATGAGCCCTACAATGAGAAGGTGAGTCTGGGGACCCCAAGGCCTGGTTCTCCTTAGAATCCACTCTTAGCAGAAAGTGTCAGGATCACCCTTTATTCAGGGAGATTCTACATCCTTCCTGCCAAGTGCAGGGCTGGTAGCTGGCAGCTACCCAGTGAATGAACTGAATGCAGTATGGGCAATAGGGCCCAGGCTTGGGCTGGTGGACATGAGGGGCAGAAAGCACACCTCTCACTCCATTGAGGGAAACTGGGGTCTGACTATCTACCAGGCGGACGTGTTCTCTTATGGTATCATCCTCTGTGAGATTATCGCGCGCATCCAGGCTGATCCGGACTATCTTCCCCGCACAGAGGTGAGCTGCAGGCATGAGGTCAGTGCCACTGGGATGGGGCTGCTTTTGAGGCTGTGGAACTATTTCGTTCTTGGGGTGGAGTTGCTGGAACTTAAGTCAGTGTGGCTACTTCTCAGGGGCAGTTCCCAGCCTCTTTCTGAGCATGCCAGGAGGGATGGAGGGATTCATGACCTCTACCCATGTTTCCTGTCTCCTCTCCATCATAACCATCCACAGAATTTCGGGCTGGACTATGACGCTTTCCAACACATGGTGGGAGACTGTCCTCCAGACTTTTTGCAGCTCACCTTCAATTGCTGTAATGTGAGTATCTTTCCTCCCCCTGGCTTTGGTCAGGTGTTCGGCTGAACCCTTTTCACCTGGTTAACACTGTAGGGAGAGGCTCTAATTAGCCTCATGAGGGGCTTTATTTTCACTGATGAATAACAATGCTCACTTCCTCTCCTCTACCAGACTGGAGGGCCTGACAGACCCCAGAGCCCTGGACCAAAGAAAGGAAAATTGCTTTGTAATATCCAATGCTCAGCCTGCAGGGTGGACCCACCACCCCTTGCCTTGGATGTTGATGAAGTTTTGGACTGGTTTCAGTTGGACTGTGGGTCCAGCTGGTCCAAAAAGCCCATGGGAAAGGCTCTTAGCCTTCATTTTATATAGCTATGGGGCTGGACCTACCTGTTATGACCAAGGTGTAGCGGGGCCTTGTCTAGGTAGCTCCCAAAAACACATTAGCAGCAGAACTCAAGAAAGAACAAACCAATGTGAGCATACCCTTTTGGAGAACTCTGTGCCAAACAAGGGTTTAAGACACACAGAAAGGGTGCTGAGTTAGGGGAGGGTATTAGACAATAGCACTTTCCCTGACTTTAGATCTGGGAATCACCCTCATGGTCTGCAGTGTTCAGAAAAGATCTCTTAGCTGCACATCTGAGTCTTGAAAGATGCCAGAAACACTCAAATTCCATCCTTGGGGTAGAAGTTAGGGGGGCAGTCTAATGGCTGGTGTTGATGACTACAGATGGACCCCAAACTGCGCCCATCCTTTGTGGAGATTGGGAAGACCCTGGAGGAAATTCTGAGCCGCCTACAGGAGGAAGAGCTTGAGACAGACAGGAAGCTGCAGCCCACATTCAAGGGTAAGAGATTAGACCAGAGTATCTAATCTGATCCCAAGGGAAGAAATTAGGATGCGGGCTCTTACCCTCTAGGGCTGTGATCGAAGGATCCCATGGCCAGAAGAAAGGTGGAGGGGCAGGGGATGGGGAAAATATTGGACTCAAAAAGAGTTGTGACTTGATATATTGCCTCCCTTTGTTGAGTCTGTTTTCTCATTGGTGAAATGAGGACAACAGTACCTGTTTTGCTTTCCCAAGTGAAATCACTTTGTGGTACAAAGTGCTGCTTCTATTTGTTATGACTAGCAAAAGTAACCCTGACTTATTGCACTATTCTTCAGGAGTCTTGGAGAAAGGACCTGGGGTGAAGCGACTGAGCTCACTAGATGATAAGATCCCTCCCAAGTCCCCACGCCCAAGACGTATTATCTGGCTGTCTCGAAGCCAGTCAGACATCTTCTCCCGTAAGCCCTCACGTACAGTAAATGTCCTGGACCCCTACTACCGGCCACGAGGTGGTGCTGCCCGCACCCCCAAAATCAATCCTTTCAGTGCTCGCCAGGACCTCAAGGGTGGCAAGATCAAGTTCTTTGACCTCCCCAGCAAGTCTGTCATCTCCCTGGTATTTGACCTGGATGCACCAGGGCCTAGAACTTTGCCTGTGGCTGACTGGCAGGAACCCTTGGCCCCACCTGCCCGCCGGTGGCGTTCTTTGCCGGGTTCACCAGAGTTCTTCCATCAAGAGGCCTGTCCATTTGTGGGCCGAGAAGAATCACTATCTGATGGGCCCCCACCACTCCTAAGTAGTCTCAAGTACAGAGTAAAAGAGATCCCACCATTCCGAGCATCCGCCCTTCCAGCTGCTCCAGCTCATGAGGCCATGGACTGCTCCAGTCCCCAGGAAGAAAATGGTTTTGGGCCCAGGCCTCAGGGGGCCAGTCCATGCCTTGCAGGTACCTCTGAGGAGATGGAAGTAGAAGAAGAAAAGCCAAGAGGCTTGGCTCCAGTCCTCTTCTCTGTCTCAGGCACAGGCCTGAAAACCCAGGGAGAGCAGGATGGGTGAGAGGGGTTAATCCCTGCCTCACCTCGGGGATGGACCTTCAGCTGAAGCCACAGGGCCTCCCCTTGGTGCATAGCCTTCACTCTTCCCTGGGGTCCACAGAGCAGGCATGCTAGCCAAGTCAGGCTCAATTTTGGGGCTCTCATAGCCCACTGGCTGTGTATGAAGGGAGGCAGCAGTGAGAGGCCTTCCTAGTTAGGGCCAACGGTTGATAAAAAGCCTCAGAAATCCAGCAAGGAGCTCTGGCTCCCACATGACCCCCCCAATGCACTTCCACAGACAGGACCAGAGGACTCCTAGTTCTAGTTTGAGCTGGCAGGCAGCTATTACCCCAGGTTCTTCTCCCACTCCAGGTCTGTCTCTTGCCCTTTACTGGGGCATATAAGCTACTGGATAGAACCTGGAACTGACCAGAAGGCTGTAAAGGACATGAGTATTTCTCAGACCTGAAGACTGGGGTGCTTCTTGCCAGTTATGTCTAAGACACTTGAATAATTGCTGTTTGCACTTACTGCACGGTCAGACCATGTCACTACATTTCTATGCAATGGGAAGGTAAGGCAGCGTGGTGGTCATGGCTCTTAGCTAACCTATTCAAGGATCTTTTCCAGTTGATTAATCTATTTTCATATTTATGAAGGAGTCTTAATGTTCTGCCCTATAAGACTTTCAACCTTGTGGTTGGGAGTGGGGCTGGTTTTGTAGGCCGTAGGGCCTGCTTTATGTGTTTGTCAACATGTGATACACCCATTTGGTTAAATGGTTTTATACATGGACTGACTTTCTTCCCTCCCTGCTATGGCTGGAGCTACCGGAACAGTCTGTCCTTACAGAGCTGCAATAAGAAATAACCAAAGATGAAGCTGGTCAGATATTTTCATAACTTGTTTCCGCTGATTTTTTTTTTTTTGTAAAACTTTCCCAAGACACTTTCAGATTTAAAAATAAATAAAGTCGGTGTTACAGGTGCTGGTCAGCTTTCTTACTTGCACCCATATTCCTCAGTCTCTGGGGGTAAAGAAGGTCCAGGAACAATGCAGCAGTATCTGTTGGAAGCTCCAACTCCCCAACTCTGTAGTAGCTGAGAATAGGACATTTACAGGCTAGAGGGACCCAGACCTTTCAGTTCCACCCTGGGTTTCTCTTCCTGGGCTGTGTGTGCTAGGTGGAAGTTTGGTCAGCTGCTGCCCCAAGCCAGCTTCATCTTCTGGTTGTGGGCTTTGGATGAACGGGAGAACTGGCTCTTGGCCACTGTGAGGGGTACAGCTTTGCCACTCAGGTATACCTTGTTGTGGCATTCAGGTAGCCAGGGTCCCGAGCTACAGGGTTGGGGTCCTTGGTTCACTCCCACATAAGCCATCACGTAACCTGTCATAAAGGCATCGAAACCAGCCCGATGCAAACCATCCCCAGCCACTGGGTTAGGACTAGCTTGACTCCCTGGCACTTCTAAGGTAGCCATGTCAGTTGTTTCAGGCCTTGTTGCTTTAAGTCCCATCTCCAAGTCATTTTTGTGATCTTGCTCAGAGCCAGGCTGGTTGCTAGTCTCATCCTCAGCCACCTCCTGCTCAATTTCCTCAGCCTTGAGGCCATCCCCACAGACCTGCTTCATGGGAGGACCGTCCTCAGCTTTCCCAGAGGTCTGTTTTCCAGGCAGGCCCAACAAAGCCCTCCGCCGTTTTTCCCTACGCCGTCGTCGTCGCCGCTTGTCCTCCATGGCAGTCTCATCAGTGTCAATGATAAGGTCAATATCGTGGGACCGAGGACACTGTGTTCCCAGGGGGCACCAGCCATAGGCCTAGAGGTAGGAAATAGGCTTAGAGAGGGGTTCCAGACATCAGAACCTCCCTTCCCCCAGGAAATGGGCGAGTGCTCTCACCGAGAAGTTGTCACAGACGCTGGTGGAATGAGGACGGTGGGATGCAGGGGGCATACAGCAGCGGTAGTCAATATGGGCCCTCATGCTAGAAGGATAACTGCAGAACTCCAGAATAAGGTGTGGGCTGCCAGCTGCCCGCTGCTTCCCATTTTCCCGCTCACTGCAATAGTGCAAGAGGATATTGATCCAGTAATATATAAGCGCCATTAGAATAGGGGTTTTTGTCTTATTTGTTCACTGCTGAATCCTCAGCACCTAAAACAGTGCCTGGCACACAGTAGGTGCTCAATAAATATCTTAAGTGAATGAAATAAGTTTATACCAGGCCCCACCCCTTTCCCTTAACCAGTCTCTCACCATTTCCGGAAGGCATATTCTAGGTAGGAGGCCACAAAACGGGCATGAAACTCAGCAGCATATTTGGTGTCATAAATGCCGGCTGGGAACATTTCATATAGGTCAGCAGTGAAGGTTCCCAAGTTCTCAGGCAGGTGTGCATAGAAATTCTGGTACAGGAACACCAAGTCTATGAGACCATTGTGCAGTATCAGAGGCCGGCGGGCCCGGATTAGCTCCAAGAACAGTGTCCTCACTGACTGGCTCTGGCTCTCATCACCCTGGGTGGAAAGCAAGGGGTTATTGGGAAGGACGGAGTGCCCTAGGGAGCTTCTTTACAGGATATTTAACCCAAGCTCCCCCACCTGGAAAGCTTTCCCTTCCTGCCCGACCCAATGCTATTCACCCATGTATCAGTCTTGTTTCCCCAGCCCTGTCTCTAGTGATTCCCTATACTCCCTAAGAAGCAGCTCCTCCCCATGCACCCAGCCCAGGGTGGGGAGAAATTTAAGTCACAGAGGGGCAGTCTCAAGGCTGGAGATCTACCTTGTCATTGCCCTTGTGGTATGGGATACCCTGGGCATACTGCCGGTTGAAGTTGAAGCCATGTTGTACCAGGAACTGCACAGACTTTGGTTCTATGACATACTCTTCCATGCACAGCAGGGTCAGATTGAACACCTGGGCCAGGTATGAGTGTTCACCCTGGGAGAGAAAGAGGGTCTGTTACATTAAGACTTCTGAGAATAAAAACATAATACCTGATGTTCCCCTGCTCTCAACCCTGCTCACTGCCCAGCCACAGACCTGGGCTGGGGGTGAGATCAGCCCATACCTTGTCTGGCTGCTGCTTGAAGCAGGCGAGGCCCAGGGAGAGGATAGACCGGGTCCTGGCAGCATGACACACGGCCTTGTAACGTTCCTCGATGCACCTTGGGGTTGGGGTTGGGGGTGACTGTGGCTGGCGGTAAGTCTCATGAAGGACCCAAACCACCCAGGACTGTGACCTCCGCTCCATGGTTAAGGTCTTGCCCCCCCCCCAGTCGCCTCCCCTCCTGCCCCCCAAGGCTGGAACTAAAGAGATCTCGGCTGATACTTACTGATTCAGCAAACTCTTCCTGTCCCCAAGCCCACTCAGTTCCTATGGGTGAAAGGGAGAGCTGAGTTAGGTCCCCAGCAACCACAACCACCTGTCCTCCCTGTTTCCCAAACCTCACCGTGTCCACAGCCACAAAGCTAGCTGTCTTTATGGCCAGCAAAAGGGATGGCCACATCTCCTTGAAGTTGTCACTCTGCACATCCACCACGGGAACCAGGACCACTAGCTCCTCCCCAGATTTTGTGCTTTTGCTGACACAACCTGGGGGTAAGGAGGATAGACAGTAATGATCAGGCAGGGGCCGGGGGAACAGATACCATGGCTTAGGGATGGGGGTCATTTTCCATGAAGGCAAGAAATGGCAGCTTTCCCCTCAAGCCTATGTATTAACCATGCTCTACACACAGGCCTTGCTTGGAGTGAACAGTGCCCAGAACTAGGGAGAGAAAACCTGGGTCTTTCAGTGAGACTTTGGGAAAATCATTTCTACCTCAGCATCACGATCTGTAGAAGAAGAAGGGTGAACTAGATATCTGTGAGGTTCTTTTTCCCACGTCCTGCAGGTACTATCTGGCACGGGTTGAAAAGTTCAGTTCCTTTAATATCCCATCAGGCTCCATACTACTGTTTCCATGGTGCCCTAGCAACTACAAGCAGCAGTAGCATGTGGGCCCCAGAGTATGATAATACCTCACACCAGAGCTCCCAGTGTGTGTCACTTCCTTTGGACCACAACTCCCAACCTGCCCCCACTTAGAGCCATGAGCTCCAGACTACATCTCCCAACATGCCCCCACCTACCCTGACTATGCTACCAACACTCCAGGCTTTTGCAGCCCGAGCCGCGGGGCACACCGGGACTTGTAGTCTCCTCGTGGCTGGCTCAGAAGGAAGCAGCTCGTCCTCTGAAACTTGAAGTCGGTTTCTAGAAGGCCCGAGGCCTTCTTCTCCCCCGTAGCGCACAAGCTTTTAAGGCGGCCCCTAAAAAGTCACTCACCATCAGAGACTGCTGGAGCTGAGACTGCGCCATCGTCACTGTCGGCGGCCATGACACCACGCGTCCCTCGCCTGAGTAGTCTGTGGGTACGCAGAGCTTCCGCTTCGTCTCCGGGCGCGACTCCTGTAGTCGGGGATGGGGGCCGGGCCTCGCCTCCCGAGTCGCTAACGGGTCGGACTTCCGTTCAGACCTCCCGGGTCTGCCGCGGAGTCGTGGGTTCCGAGCGAGTTGGAGCCGATTGGCTATTGCGGTCCAATTCGCCGCCCGGAGTGGCCGGAACCACGCCCCCTAGAAAGCGTTTGGCGCGGGACGCAGCGTGGGAGGTAATTATTTCTTCGCGTACGACCCGCCGGGAACGTGGGTCACGGCTTTACGCTGCCCTCATTGACGCGGCTCCGGGGTGGGGGTGAGGGTCCCTAGAGGAGGGGGCCCTGCCGGAACTAAGCTTAAAGCACGCATGCGAGTTAGGCAAAGACAGGGGAATGCGGGAGAAGGAAGGACGTTCTGGAAATGGGCAAATTCCCTGGGAAGATGGAGCTCCCTGCGTTCCAGGAAGTGAAAGAGGCGGGGAGGGGGACCTGGGATGAGATGCAGAAGGGTTAGAGCGACCCTCTAGCAAAGAAGCTTTTGAAATAATCCAGGCTGGTGATAATAAGGACTTGAATTAAGGCTCCGGCAGTAGGCACAACGTCGAAGGGACAAATTGTAAGCAAGTAGGAGGTGTGGCTGACCTGGAGGGTGATTGGACATGACTCCTGCTATCGTGAGGGAGTTGTCCCTACTAGATACCAGTCCTTTCCCAAGAGCCCCTGGTTCCCATCCTCTTGTCCCACCGAGGATTCTCAACCTTTTCTCCTTGGTTATTCACTTTCTAGTTCATCTTCAACCTTTCACTATCCCTCATCCCATTCATTAATTTAACAAATATTTATTGTATACAATTTACCTGGCACTGTACTCAGCTCAGAGGACACAACAGTCAACAAAAGAGACCCAGTCCTTGCTCTCATGAAGTTTTACAGCCAAGGGGAAGTGGACACTGATCAAAGAATCTCAAATAAATGTGAAATTGCAATTGGTATAAGAGCTACAATGAAGAAGTACAGAAGAGGGTTAAGACTGGAAGGACCTGATTTGGACATTTAAGTCTCTGTGAAGAATTAGATGTTAGCTAAAGCATAGGAGAAAAGCTGTTCAAGTAGGGGAAGTGAATTGGGTGAGGCTTCAAGGTGGACAGACACTTGGGGGATTGAAGCATCTATTTTAGGCAAACATGGCAGAGCATAGGGATGGAGGGGATGAAGCAAATGGGACCCTGGAGCCTACAAGGCTTTATTAAGAAGATTGGCATCTATTCTAAGAGCAATGAATGTGACAGCTAAAGTCCTCCAATAGCCTACAAGGAACTTTGTGATCTGTGTCCCCCACCTTCTTTACCTTTCTGACCTTATTTCCTACTACTTACCCTCCTCATTTCATTCTGACTACACTGGCTTCCTTATTCTATAAACACACCAGGCTCCATCCTTAGGGCCTTTGCACTAGCTCCTTTAAGTAATTGATCAAACATCATTTTAAGGCCCATCTTGACTACATTCTTTAAAATTGCAACATTCCACACCCTCCCCATTTATTATCCCCTTCATCTGCTTTAATCCCCTTTATTGCTAATATTTATTGTCTATTATCCTATATAATTTACTTATGTGTATTATTTATTGTCTGCTCCCATTAGAATATAAGCTCCACGAGGGCAAGAAAACTTTGCTTTGATGTTTTAATTAGTGAAGTATTCCAGGTACCTAAAACTGCTTGACACTTGTAGGCTTTCCATAAATATTCAGTGAAATAATGGGAAGTTATTGAAGTAAGAAAATAACATGATCGTGTCTTAAAAGATGGTTTTACTCTGGAGAATTGATTGTAGAATGAATTATGGACATGAGTGAGTTTGGTGAAGGAAGTTTGGCTATGAAGGGGAGAAGAGTGGGTCTTCTGGGGGGTGGGATTGAAGGAGCAGGATCCGAGCTTGGACAATTTAGGAGAAGGGACCACTCCATTCATATAATGGAGGAGAGAAGAAAGAGAGTACAGGTGGAAGTAAGTTTGTACATTCATTTTTTTTCTCTGAAGGAGGAAGCAAGCTCTTTTGATGAAAATGAATTTATAAAGTCAAAAGTTTGAGGAGAGAGTTTGACCCAGAGGCTTAGCAGGGACTGCAGTATAGCAGAGTGCAAGAGTAAAGGCCCTGGAGGCAGATCTGGGTTTGAACGGACAGGATGCTTAATCTCTACAAGCCTCAGCTTCCTCATAACTAAAATGGTGGTAATACTAGAATATACCTAATGAAGTCATCAGGAGATGGAGTGAGAAATCTGGTAAAGCACCTAGCACCGGGTCTACCATGTAGTAAGCACTCACTCACTGTTAGCTACATTTAGCTGTTAGAGAAAAGGCAGCCAGAAGTACAGGAAAGGAGTAGTGAAGAGCAACCTGATGCTAATGGCCAGCCAGCTATGGTTTTCTAGATGAGGAAAAGACTAGGAATAAAACTATTGGGTTGTTGGAAAAGTCATGACGCATGTTTGCAACAGATGGCACTAGTTCATTTTTGGAAGTACTAGAGTCATTCGCATCTATGTTACTGCTATGTCATTTGACAGCTGACAGTTCTAGCTCCATTCTAAAAAAAATTGAGCGATTTGGTTGCGTTTTGAAGATTTTACAACGAGTTGAAGATGGAAGACCAAACCGTGCATTTTTGCCGTATTTTACTGTTTTACTTCCATAAAGGGAAGAACGTGCATCAAGCTTGTGAAAAGTTGCATAAAGTTTACAGTGACAATGCTCTACAAGAACATCAGTGCCAACGATGGTTCACGAAAATCCGTGTTGGTGATTTTGATCTCAATGACTTTCCTCGGTCAGGGAGGCCCACCGAGGTTGATGACGACAAAATAAAGGCATTGATGGAGTCAAACCCAAGTTACACGACACGAGAGATTGCAGAAACATCGAACATCCATCATTCAAGCGTTCACGACCACCTGAAGAAGCTGGGATACTTAAGCAAGCTTGATATTTGGGTTCCACGCAAACTCAAAGAAATTCATTTGACGGTGCAGATAAACATCTGCAATATGCTCATTAAACGTGAGGAAAACTGTCACGTCCAGCGTGGCAAGGGCAAATGGGTCTCGTGAGGAGCGACGCAGATTGAATAAAGTAAAGGAGACAAAAGTTAGATTTGAGCAGAGACCAAGGGACTCAGCCAGAGAAGACTGAGACTGAGCCCCGAATCGGGTCAGCGCATGGCTTTTATTGAGAAATTTCAAAGAAGTAAAACTGCTGTCAATCAATTAGCAACCGTGTGTGATTTGTGTGCCTTAGGGCCTCTTGCCATTAACATATCCCATTGTGTTCCAGCAAATCCTATGCCTTCACACATCTGGCCACATAGCCCCAGAACACTTGTTACTGTGTCCTCCCAGGGGAGATAACTATTATCATTCCAATAGGTCCCAGTCACCTGAGACACTCCCCAAAGAGAGAGCATTACCGGCCTCCGGTCATACCAGGACTCTCCCTCACAGAGATTACGTGCCTCAAGTCATACCGAGACACACCCTCTTAACTTAATAGGGTTAGAGGCTAATGCAGTGGGGTGGTATTGGAATCGGCTATAATGCAACAGAAAACAATCCTTTTTCGAAGTGACTGATAACTGTTGATGAGAAGTGGATTGTTTACAACAATGTGGTGTGCAAACGGTCTTGGTCCTGATGTGATGATTCGCCTCAAATAACATTAAAAGCAGACATTCATCAGAGGAAGGTTATGCTCTCAGTGTGGTGGGATTTTAAAGGTGGTGTATTTTTTGAGCTCCTACCAAGGAACCAAACAATCATTTTGATTGTGTACTGTCGGCATTTGGACAGTTTGAATGAATCTATCATCCAGAAATGTCCAGAGTTTGTTAATTATAAAGGAGTTGTGTTCCATCGCGACAACACGAGACCACACACAAGTGTGATCACCCGTCAAATATTATTGGAGCTTGAATGGGATGTGTTGCCACACCCACCATACTCTCCTGACCTTGCGCCATCAGACTTCCGCTTGTTTCGCTCTCTTCAAAACTCCTTGCATGGTATAAACGTTCAATTCAGATGAGGCTGTAAATCAGCACCTTGTTCAGTTTTTCGCAAATAAAGACAGGTCCTTCTATGAACGAGGAATTATGAAGCTCACTGAGAGATGGCAAAAGGTTATTGAACAAAATGGGCAATGTATCATTGATTGATCTTTGTTCTTTATATAAATAAATGACCTTTGAAAAACATAGACAAAATACGTCATGACTTTTTCGACAACCCAATAGTTCATCTCTCCTCCCCCTGACTTGGCATTTACTCTCAGGCAAATCTTTTCCTCTCTCTGATCCTTGTTTTCTTCTTTCTGTAGAATGAAGTTTTGGATTAGATGACTGCTAAAGGCCATTTCAATATAAATGTCCTACATCTCCTATCTACCCCCATGCTTCTAGACACAGCTAAAGAACCCCTGTCCACACATGTATCAGAGTAGACATCAGGGATACACAGATACTCCCACACAGGAGGCTCTGGTCCTTGACCCAGCCTAGCCCTGGCCTCTTATTTTGTGTATGTTTCCAGGACTTTGCTAATGCTG